TGTTGTACTTGTCTTATGATACACCTCTGTTTTGGACACACGTGTTTAGAATCATAAGGTGCTCTTGATGGATTGTTCCCTTAATCACTATAAAGTGACTTATCTTCTCTCACTAGTTTTACTTTGAAGTCATTTTTGTCAGATATGAAAACAGTGACACCCGCTTGCTTCCTATTCCTTTTTCTCAGAGTACCCTTTGGCAGTCTTTCATCCTAAAGTAGTCTTTCTTTTGTGATGATGGACATTTTTTTGGAGGCAACACATAGGTAACTATTGATTTTTTTTCAGTTCAATCTACTAGCCTGTGCCTTTTCATTGGGAAATTGAGAATATTAACATTAAGTTACTGTTGTAAGGTATGCATTTATCCTGCCATCTTATTGATTTTGTAGTATTTGAATTTTTCTTCTTTCTTTCTTCCTTAACTATTATTCTAAAAGTTTATTCTTTCATGTGGCCTTGTGCATTGATTTTCCCTCTATAGTCTGATTAATTTCTTCAAGTATCTTCTGTAGAATTAGCTTAGTAGTCATGGATTTCTTTAATCTATTTTGTCATGGAATTTTTTTTAATTTTTTATCTCACTTATGACAAATAGTTTTGCTGGTTATAGTAGTCTGGGTTGGCAGTTTCTTTCAAAACTTGAAATACATCTTTCTAGGACCTCTTAGCTTTTAAAGTTTCAGTTGACAAATCAGCTGTTGTTCTGATGGGCCTGCCTTTGTATGTGATCTGGTGTTTCTCTCTTACCACAGCCGATATACTATCTTTGCTTAGTATATTTATTATTTGAATGATAATATGTCTAGGGGAGGATCTTTCCAGGTCTTGTATGTTTGCTGTCCTAAACACCTCTTGAACATAGATTGTCATCCTTTTCTGAACTCCATGAAATTTTGAGTTATGATTCTTTTGAAAATGTTTTTTATGCCTTTAGAATGAAATTCTTCTTCTTAAAATCACTTTACTTCATCTTTGTCCTTGATGGCTTCTTTAGTTCCTTAACCATGTCTTTAAGCTCAGATATTCTGTACTCTCCTTGATTCATAGTATTGCTGAGACTTTCCAAAGATGTTTGTTTGTTTGACTTACTATATATATATATATATGTATATATTTTAGTTTTCAGCATTTCAGATTGGATTTTCTTCAGTAGTTTTATCTTTGTTGAATTCCTCTTTCTCATAATCTATTATTTTATCTACTGGTCGTGTCTTTGAACATGCTTACAATCATTATTTTGACCTCTATGTCAGGATTTACTATAACATAATCTCATTTGATGTCATTACTGGGGGGTGGCTATTAATTTTGGAGGAATTATGTTGTCTTAGCCTGTGTGTGTGTGTGTGTGTGTGTGTGTTTCTTATGTCACTGCATTAGGATTTACACATGGGGCTTATTTCTATGTGGGGCTTACTTATTTTTATCAGCTACTTCCTTCAGTTGAAGTATTTGAAATGTTCGTGTGGGACATTGATATGTTAGAGTTGAATGAATAATTCAGAAAAAACAATTCCTTAGTCCAGGATCTCAGGGGCCTTGGTATAAGTTTTATATGATTCCACAAGTACAGTATTAACAGGGAGCAACAACAGCTGCTTGATATTACTTGCTATTACTATTATGTAAATTCCATAGTAGACAGTAGGCAATGGCCCCTTTGACTTCCATAACTGTTGGGGTATAAACAAACAAAGATGAGATGGAGTGCAACCAGATTGTGGTGGGTAAAGCAGCTGGGAAGAGAAAATTAGGACACTGTTAGTGTCCACAGACTTCAGGTATTGTTAAAGCCATGGAAGATTATAATTAAGAAGTAAAAAGATAAGAGCATAGGGAAGAGAGAGAGAAAAAGACTAAGGAATAAGAGGGGAAGTTTGAGGTGTGGCTGAAGAGTATCTCATGGCAAACGGGGTGGAGAAACATAAACAATATTCCTAAGACTCTACTGAGCAATACATAAACAAAAGCAAAACCATCATGAGACATATATGCAAGAGTGGAACTTAAATAATGGAAGATAAGAACTGAAGAGATAGTTAGAGAGTGAATTTCTGCCTTAACTGCCCTGAGATGAAGTGCGATGTTCTCAGACCCCTCAGGCTCTGGTAGGTTTCAACCGGTGCTGGGGTTGGGCAAGTGGGAGCTGCAGCCTGAGTGTTCCTGGGGTTCTGGCATGAGCAATGGGGGAGATTATAAAACCTTTCATGATAGCTCCCCTCAGACCTCTGCACTTCATCCACTATGGCCTTTCCTGGCCCTGTAGGTGGAATGCTGGTGAGGGGTAGGACTTCCTTGGGGTTTCTACTGCTCTTTCCTGGGCAGCCTTATTCAGCGGTCTGGCATGGTGAGCACTGGAGCTGGGCTTCCAGCTGGGCTCTGATTCTTGACTTCCCTACCTGCTTCCTCATAGAGGTCTCTCTGGGGTAAGAAGTTCATTACAGGGATCGTTTCTTGAAGGATGTGAGCAAACTGTTATGTCTTTGTTTTCACTCATGGAGCATCTGTTGTAAGGCTTGCACTACGATTTCTTTTTCCTTTTCTCAACCTCTGACTCATCCTGACTTAGCATTTATTCTTTGCTCATAGCCTAAAATGTTCATTTACCTATAATATAGGAAACGAGTGAATACCTCCCTCCCTCACTGCCGGCACGCCTCGTCTTTTCCCTCTTCTTACTGAGTGGAATGTCCCTGTGTGACCAGCCCCTTCATGAATATCTTTCCAGTTCCTTCTGTCATTGTCACTGATGTCCTGAATTGTCACCCATTCCTTCCAGCATCGAATCCCTCACTGACCTCACATGACCCTCCAGCTGCTACTCTGTTTCTGTGGTCCCATTTCAGGAAAAACAAAACAAAACAAAACAAGAATTGCCTCAAAAATAGCCGTCCTCTCTGCTTCCAAACCTCTCTTCCCATTTTCCTTTGAACCCGTTTCAAGCTGGCGCTCATCCCCACCACTCCACCGAGACGGCGCGGTCAGTGCCCTCCTAACTTCTAAGGCCAAATTAACAGTGAAACCTCAAGTCTCGACTCGAGTGCTTGACAGAGTTGTTCTCTCCAGGGTCTCTGTGCATTTCTGGGTCTTTTCTTCCAGCAAGCCATTGCCGTCTGTCTCCTTGACTGACTTCTTGTATCTCTGTCTTTCGGACACTGAGAAGCCTCAGGGCAGAGTCTCCAATCTGTTCTTATGTCTGTATTCACTCACCAGCTGAGTGAATTCTCCGCTCAGGGTTTTAATGTCACTCATACACGAGTGTCTCTGAGACTGAAAGCTACGATCTAGATTTGTGTCCCTGGCTGCCTTGTTGGCATCTCCACCTGGTTCTGTCTCAACAATGTCGAATGTCACGCCTAAAACTGAATTCTAATCACCCCACATAGGGTGTTTCTGGTGTCCTGTTTCTATAAAATTAATTCCACTTTAGCAGTAGCTCTGACCCAAGCCCTTAAAGTCATTCTCAAGACACATTTCTTTATACGATAACCAGTCCATCAGAAAAGTCTATAATATACATGTTTTGGCCATTAGATATTTATGTCTATAACTTTAAATTGCTAAGTAGCATTCCAGCAATAACTGTGCATGCTCAGTGCCCAGCCCTATTGTGAGTGTCTTATCTATGATCCCCTGAAGCTCCATAAAACCCTATGAGATATAATTATCATCTTTCTTTAGAGATAGATAAACTAAGGCACAGAGTAACTTGTCAGTGTCACCTGGCTAGTATATGAAAGTGTCACAGTGGTGGCCTGGCCTGCAGTGCAGTGCATTATACATTTGAGTATTTACATAGTTTAGAAGGTCCTAGTTGCCATAAATCATGCTGTGTTAACCACCTTTGTGTACAAAGCCCTTCCCCAGTTTGGAATCATTTTTTTAGCATATATTCTCAAAAATTGAAGTACTCTGATAGTGAAGACCTTCTCCATTAGGGTAGCTTATTATTATTCAACGTTGGTTCTTATGAATCTGAAGTTATACATAGTTAAGAAATCAATATTTTTTGAATAGAGACCATCTCAGGGGGAACTTAAATAAAGCCTACTCTTGATTTAGTCACAATTTATTTTGAACACTCATTTGATCTTATGGCCTTTGGTTTCCACATGTGTTATATCAAGATAATCTCATGAAAATTTCCTCACAGATGCACTAATCATGCCCCTCTTCCTATAAAATGAAGAACCTTTGGTGTTACTCTCCCTCATAAGAACTCATTCTTCTCCTTGGATCAAACACTGCTCCTTCCTGAAAATGGTTTGATCTGTTCTCTCTTTTAAGATCTGACGGGGTCAATAAGTCTTACTTTTAATGACTTTGCTTGTCTGAATTTTATATCTACCTTTCTTATTCACTGTTGTGTCAAGATCTTAGAGACATGAAGGATGGATGATGTCAAGATATATTGTCCATGGTTGTATATCAGCTATGACCACAAGGAACATCATTTGAATTTTGATGGAGCGTTACATCAAATCTGTAGGTTACTTTGGTAATATAGTCACATTCACATATTAAATCTGCTAATCCAGGAGCATGGAAAGGTCTTTTTATTTAGTATCTTTGTAATTTCTTATTTCAGTGTCTTAAAATTTTCATTACAGAGGTCTTTTGTTTCCTTGATTAAGTTTATTCATAGGTACATTTTTGTGCTACTGTGAGTAGGGTATTTTCCCTAATGTCTTTCTGAGCAATTCCATTATTAGTATATGTGAAAGATACCTGTTTTGTATGTTGATTTTGTAACCTGAAATGTTGCTAACCAATAATATCTGTGTTAGTGAGAGACCCTGTGTCAAAAAAACAAGGTGGACAGTGTCCTGATGAATGACACCTGTTATTGACCTCTAGTCTTCTCAATCATGGATATACATGTGCATACACACCTGCACACATGAACATGTACACACATAAAAAATGTGAAAGTGATTTCAGGAAGTAGCAGACATTTTTTTCCTAGTGTACACAAAGATGCAGCATGAACAATGGAACACAATCCTCCCCTCTTTATTCAATATACCTTATCGTATAATGTGCAAGCTCGAATCTAAACAAAAAATAAAGTACAGGTACATTTTATGAAAATTGGATTGTACAAATTTGAAATTGTTGATAACAGAAAAATATTATGTGCTACTGCATAAAACTGAAACTTTTTAAAAACAGCCGTGAACTGCAAGATCCAGAATTGACTGGTACAGTGAACTGCCAATCTTGATTACTGATTGTACCCATAGTCACTCTGTTACATAGTATGGTGGGACCCACACTTTTATTTATGCACTCTGAAACTTACACACACACACAAGCCAATGTTCCATGTGTTACTGTTTGCACAATAAACCTATTCCAGATGTTACAGATGATAAAGCACTCCACACTCCTAACAACTATAGTCAATAATCTGCCATCTGATAATTTAAGAAAGTGAACATTCTAAGATACTGTGGAGAAAATGATAAAATACAGCAGCAGGGAGACAAAACAACACAAAACAAAAAACCCAGCAACAGCATGCCTACTAACACTTCTATCTCTGTGGAAACTAATATTAAACTATGAGCAAATTGTGTGGCATGTTTGGGAGAGCATCCTTCACACAAAACACACTTTCTCTTACTTTAAAAATTCTCATCTTTAAGCAATACTCACCCCAACCTCTATGCCTGAAAGACAACACATAAAACTGAAGGAGCTTTGGGGATTTCCAATTTAACACCATGTGTAGTGATCCACAAAGGGAATGAGATTCTACAGTAAGCTTCCCAGCAGTCACATCTGCTGTGTGTGTTATTAATTCTCTTTAGGACACAATGAGATGCATCGCCTTGTAGGGTAATGTTGAGGCTATTTTTATTCCAGGTTCTGATGAGTTTTGAGTCATCACTAAGTCACCTTCATGGTGTCTTTACAGGACTCACCTTCATTCCACTTGTCTCACCAATGAGAAAAAGAGGACCAGATAGTCTTTCCGCCCTCCAGTGATCAGAGGAATAATGAGCTCACAGGCTCATCTGTAAACACAGAGCTTGGAAAGCCCCATTGCATGGGGTGGTAGTTGCAGGTGAACAGAGTCATACTTGCTACAGCACACGCTGGGCTCTTGGTCCCAGGTTGTCTTAATGTAATCTGGGCATGTGCTCAGAGTGCCAAGGAGGCCAGGGCATCTGGACCCATTTTGATTTTTAGCATTTGTAAAAAGCATCAAGATAATGGTTTTCAAAAAGGAATTCACAAAGTTAGAGGCATACACAGATGTGGGAAGCTAAGATTGGCCTTATTTAGAGCTGTACAAATGCAGTCAGGATGGTTCTGTCATTGTATTCAAACTCAGGGCTTCTGAATGTCACAAACGGGCCCCACATCTACTACTCAATTGCAACAAAATTGTATTTCACCAAGAAATTTCAAAAGATTGTTTAAAAAAAAATTATTTCTTTACAAGCCAGGAGTATCCACACTGGACTTTCTCTCAACAACACAGGTTGACCAGAACACTACAGACAATGTTATAAACGTCAAGTTTGTAAGGGATGAAGTCTTGTTTGACCTGTGCTTAGACTCAAATATGGATCTGGCAAAGTCTGGGCAAGATGCTCAATACGACCACTGCAATGAATGAAGATAAGATTTGCAGATTCAGGGTCTTAGAATTGCCAGGGGAACTTCTTTCTTTGCATTCATTACCCTCACACACTAAAGGCTGGATTTCCTGAGTGGTCTCAGTGAACTCTGTAACCTCTCCAATCATCATTTCCAAATATACTTGAATTCCCTATTCTTGTGCCATTCTCGAGATGTGTGTGAGCATAAAAACAAAAGCTATATATTTCCACACTGTGTTTCCACATTTTGGATCCCCTCCAGACACCATTCTGAATATGACACTCAGATGCAGGGCACTAAAAATGGTTCTTGCCTTAAAATAAAACCTTTAAAGATCCCTTAGTAGCTATTCAGGGACTGGAATTCAATTTCAGTTCTCCACCCTTTGGCCAGCTGTAGATTCGGAATGCTTACATAAAACACCGACAGTATGTACTTCATGGCAAATTTGATTTTTCTTCTGTAATAGAAATGTGAGTCACAGTCACCACAAGCTGTATTTCTGCTTAGATAATATAAAAAGCAATAATGGACCTCATCAAGGGAGAACAGGTCCTTTTAAAATTTTATTTTATAGGTAGCTTTAACATAAGCTTTGGGTACATCCACCTACTGCAGCAAGCATGAAAAAAATCTAAGCCTTCAAATTATAATGCTCTATATTTTAGGCTGTTATATCTCAAAGAGTAACTTTTTAAATTCTTTTATTACAAGTAGTTTGTGCACATAAATGTTATATCACAACAGCAAAAAAAAAGAAAGAAAACATGTAAACTTTTACATACTACATAAATACTATAGTACCTGCCTTGAAGATATTCTTACTTTAAGTCAGAATATACTCTAAATGTCTTACATAGAAAATGTCGGTCAGTAGCCTATGTGTATAAAACACTGTTTTTGTTTTTAACTGATCTGTCTTTCGTTGGTCTTTGAAGGAGAAAAATACAAGATCAAAATTCAGTCCATAAGAAAGATAAAGTATGCTGGCAGCTTTGGGTAAAACACTAGATATGCAATTCCTTTGCACACTGAATCCAGCAAGCCTACCAGTGGTATCGAGATAGCCAAGACTGAGCTCTACTCATGCTCATATTTCCGTATTTCCACATTTTCGGTGTTCTTTTCAATAAATGTTTTTCCTCAGAAAGTTCATCTGGTTATAAATCAAGTTTACTCCAGAACCTGTACCGGTTTTTCCCAGATTCCTACAGTACATCTAGCTCTTGGTCGAAGTGTCTTTGGTGAAAACAAAGCCCACTGCTAAAGCATTTTTGAGCATTTTGAACGCATGCAGAAACAACTACCTAGAGTCTAGCAGCCACACAAGCAGGCTCAAATACCATTACTTATTGTTTCTTTTGACCTAGATGCTTCAACACTGTCTTGGAAAACACAGAGATAATGGCGGCAAGATGGTCGCAGAGCCCAGAGCTGGAGGATGTCTTGAGCGGTCTGCAGACAACAAGCAGGAACCCCCTGTTTCTGCCTTCCTTTTCTGTGCACTTTCACTAAACGCAGTGTCTTATCTTCCTTGACAATGAAAACTTAAAAACCCCAGCAGTGACTCATGGAGACCTCAAACAACACTGTCCATGCATGGGCTTTTTTAGACAGGTGAGGATTCTTAAAAGCTCTTTCCCCAGGGGGAGAGGGGAGAAACATCCTTGATTTAGGAGCCATTTTTAGTGCACACGGGGCCCTGGCTGATGCTGTCCTCCAGGTACTGGCTGCCGGTGTCACTCCTGCTGTGGATGGTGGAGGGGATGCGGGAGGGGCGCCGCTCAGTGCCGCTGTCCTGCGAGGTGCAGCAGATCATCTTCCTCATGGTGCTGTACATGTCCTCGTCCTTGTAAGAGTAGATGATGGGGTTCATGACGGAGTTGAGCAGCGCCAGCAGCAGGAACCAGCGCTTCACATGCTGCACGCCGCACTGCTTGCAGTTCAGGCCATCCAGCAGCAGCACCACGAGACCCGGCGTCCAGCACACCACGAAGGCACCTGCAGGGAGAAAGGAAGAAGTAAGAGCTGCCCAGACCCCGGATGCTGATGCGGGGCTTCTGTCTCAGCCTTCAGTGTTTTCTCACCCGCCGAGGGAACTTACATCCTTCACAAAAGGGTTAGAGATAATGAGTGGCTGGGACCCCTTTGATCCGTGGTGTTCCACCCAGTGAGTCGTCTGCTCACCCACGCCTCCTTAGTAGGAAAAAGCTAACGTTTATGACGTAGTTATAAAGTGCTCTGCATACGTGAGCCCCAGCAGTCTTCTGGACCACATTAGAAGGTTGCTGCAGTTACGACCATCTGACAGAGGAAACTGAGGCTCCACTCAGCGTCGGCCTACGTGCAGGACTCCAGAACTCATGCTCTCACCCGTTCTGCTGTTTCCAACTTCAGACTTTGGAAACACTTTCTTGAAAATTCTAGTAATGGCTAATGCACCCCCCACACAACTCCCCACCCCACGCACGCCAAGTAACACTGTACAATGGGCTTTGTCAGGGGCAGGCAGCCGTGGCTCCTAAGGCATTATCTTCAGACTTTGATCAAGTCAGAAGTTCCATCCATCACCAGTGCGCACTGGGGCTTCCTAAGCAGTCTGTTCCCTGTGACATATTCGCAGGCTATTTACTTAATTGTTTGCTGTGATCTCCATTGCTTTTGTAAGAAACAATTCTTTCTGGTGTGATAGCTAGAAATGTGCTTTGTAGACCGTGGTGGAACATGAACACCATCCACTAGTAACTGGATCGCTCTGACCTTACCTCTCAGCTCAGTGATGTTGAAACAGGTTCAGTGTTCTGCTGCTGTGTTAACATAACCTCGGGCAACAGTCAGCAGCTAACGTTTATATGCTTACTATGAGCCAAACCTGGTGGGAGAAATGTTTTCCTTGATTAACTCATAGGACCATGCTATGAGATTGGCAGAGAGAAGTTATGTGCCTTGTCTGTAATAAATAGCTCTTAGGAGACACCTGGTTTGGAATGCATGCTCTCCTTCCACAGACAGCATTTTTCACTGTGCTGTGACCCATCTCCTTATCGTGATGCACTTCTTTTCTCTCAGTGCCTTTATGATGCATTGCTTACAAGTCAATAAATATTCACCTCAAGCTTACCATATGCTTGGGGCTGGAGCTAAAAGCGAATGTGGAAAAGAGAACAAGCGAGTCAATAAAACCATATCAACAGCTAGTGGCTCTGGCTGGCTAGCACCATCTCTGGTTTCCCTCCTCGATGTTCACACACACTGCCACATGTGAGGATCAGAGCCGATGAGAAACGGTCCCCAGTACTGCGGTAGAGCCTCTGAGCTGGGGCTTTGCTGGGACCAACATTGGATGTGTAAGAGGTAACCGGAGAGGTCAGCTCTCTGTTGTATAGTGACGCATTACCAAAGCCTACTCTTTCCCCATCACACGCGGGTTTTTACGGTCTGACTAATGTGAGTGAAGAACTGGATGTGGAGGGCAGGAAGAGTAGCTAGGTCCTCGCGCACTGACTGTACAGCTCCCGGAGATCCATGCCATGGCCTAGAGGTGGGCCTTCCTCAGCTGTAAGTTAGGGCACATCTGGATTTCCAAACTGTGGCACAAATCCTTTGGTGGGTGTGCAATCATTTCAGTGGATTTGGACGATTTTTTTTTTTGTTGTTGTTTTTTCGAGACAGGGTTTCTCTGTGTAGCTTTGCGCCTTTCCTGGGACTCACTTGGTAGCCCAGGTTGGCCTCGAACTCACAGAGATCCACCTGGCTCTGCCTCCCGAGTGCTGGGATTAAAGGCGTGCGCCACCACCGCCTGGCTGGATTTGAACCATTTTTAAAAAGGGGGGTAGAATAGGATAGAATAATGCACAGAGTATATTACACAGGCCAAGGAAATTACAGTTTTCCTGAAATTTTATATATCACACATGGGTGTACTGGTGATCCAGCAGTGTATCCACATGTTTAAAAAGATTTATTTTTATTATTTTTAATGACATGTATTTGTGTGACTATGTGCACGTGAGTGCAGGTGCCCATGGAAGCCAGAGGGGTCAGATCTTCTGGAGCTGGAGTCAGGTAGTTGTGAGCTACCTGATGTGGGAATTGAACTCAGGTCCTCTGGAAGGGCAGCATGCACTCTTCACCGTTGATCCATCTCTGCACACCCCAGGGTGTTACTTCTTATTGCTGGGCTTGGTGATGATTTTGAAAAACACTCGTTTGAACCACCTTTGAGGCCCTATTCAGCTCCAGGGGTCTGTAGTTTCCACAACAGTAAGACTTTTCTTCCTGTTGGTGTTCTTAAAGAGAGCCGCAGCGTTGTCAAGATAGAAGAGCTAAACAAGCCAGCCACCAAAAGCCGAGACTGCTGACGTTGAGGTGAAGACTCTTTTCTGTGTGAAACTGCCTAACTGCAAAGAACCCCAGTGGGAATGCTCCGGAGTCCTCGGGAAGAGAGGAAAAACACTGTCTGTTTTAGACCTTGTAAAGTACACAGCAAAATTTAGTGAACGTGTAGCTTCCAGACCAATGGGAGGGGATGATGGAACTGAAGGGAAGGGGAAAGATCTCACTATGACAGAAGGGGGTGTTCAGATTGCGTGTATGTGAGTGTGCGTGTGCGTGTGTGTTTATTCCCCACTCAGAACGTTGATTTACACTGGTCAATCAGGTGACCTAAACACTACAAACAAACCTTTAAGTTGGTACCTCATCTATCCTAACATGTTAATACACACACACACACACATACACACACACACACACACACACACACACACACACACACACACACTTTCTCTCAAATAGTTTATTCAATAATAATATGACACTTTTTTATTGTACCCCAATTATATGTCAGATACTGTTTTAATAATTTCTATGAATTAACCACTTACTTTCTAGTGCCTTTCTTGGAAGTAGGCACTAATACACTTTTCATTTCAGCTCTGAGGCCCAGTGCCAGGTGATATGCTCAGAAGCATCCAGCTGGTGACTGCCAAGGCCAGGATTTCAAGCCAGGAAGCCTGGCGCCTGCCACTGGGCTGGGCTGGGCTGGCCACCTGACAACAGATCAGAAAGTGTCTTCCTTCTAACGGGAAGGAAGCAGAAGTGACGCTTCCCCATTTGCAGTATGTCATAGCTGACTGTGACTGAACAGCATCCAGGTCCATTTCTGATGTGCAACAGGAGGATTTTCAGGAAAGAAAGGGAGAGAAGGGAATCGAACGCAAAGGTAGAAGAGCTGGATGAGAAGAAGACGAGGGGGCCCCACAGATCTTCTGTTTACATGGTTTCCAGCAAACAAGAAAAGGCAAGTCTTCTTTGAAAGAAGAGCCTAAGCATGGGGGCCGATCACCTGTGGAACAGGTGCTTCATGCTGAGGCCCACATCCTAGGCAGAAACTGTGATAATGTAAGACTCCGCTCCTGGAGGCCAGGTTCTCACCCATATGCATAACAAAATGCAGGTACTGTTGGCCTACCAGTTCATTTCCTAGAGGGTCTCAGCATATGTCAGCTGTCAGGTGTGAAGCCACTCTCTCAAAATATTTTAAATGATATGTCAAGAATTTCTTGGGCCCTGAGGACCTGTAATATAGAAAAATTCTTGAAGAATGTGGGAAATAGTGCATGTGTATGGGCAACTGTACTAACTATAATAATACTCCTTTAAAAATAGGAGGAAAAGGATTGAGATATACCTCGTAGAGTGCTTGTGTAGCATGTATGAAGCCCTGGGTCCTACTCATTGCCACCACCAAATAAATCAAGTGGCAGTGCACTTGGAGAGATGGTAAGTTCCTCCTCAGTTGCATAGTGTCTTAAGGACAGAATGGGATACCTAAGACTCTGTGCCAAGTCAAGTGAGTTGGGGTGGACGGTAGGGAGAGGAAAGATATCCTGGGAGGTCCAGATCAGTTAGCCCCTCCCAGTCTTCTATAAATCCTAAAAAGAAAAACCTTAAAGGAATGTTCTTTGTGTTTCTTTGACTCAAAACACAGACAATTATTGCTAGGAACTAACGACCAGGGTTCAAAAGAAGTCATGATAAGATCAAGTTTCCACCAACAAAAGAATCAGCATTAACCAACGAGCATGGGCCCAGTGTGCCTATCTGGGAACAAGTGGAAGAAGCTGGGGGTGCTTTTCTTGGAGAAGAGGAGACGAGGGGGGCATGGGTCAACTGTCTTCTCAAACCTGTATGCTGATCATACAGAAGAGACAGGCGCAGGCTTGTCCTGAGCTGGTCCAGAGGGTCACATGGAGCATGGAGGCATACAAAAAGCTAAGATTTGGATGTAAGACTTCCAGAGGATGGAGGGATTTAAGAGAACCCTGCTGTTCAGCAGGCCGAGTCCCACTGGGACAATTATTTCCTTTGTCTGCATCATTCTAAAATGCATACAGGGGAGAGATTTTTATGTTAAAATTAAAGCTATGCTAAGTTTCTTCTGAACTTTATTTTACAGGAAATTGCCAAATTCTATGTAACTATTAGATTCAACTCATTATAAAATCCAGACAAATTTGACTTTTTTTCAGGACATATGCAATGCCTTGGTTAAAAACTTATCAAGGTGACTTCTCTAGACTGGTGCTTTCCCAAATTAGCTAGCCAGCTGAATTACAAGGGAGTGTGTGTGTGTGTGTGTGTGTGTGTGTGTGTGTGTGTGTGTGTGTACAGGCACACATGTGTGAGTGCACATCCATATGTGTGCAGAGGTTAGAAGACAAACTTGGATTTTATGTCTTACATGCTGTCCACCATTATGAGATAGTTCCTCATGGGCTTACCACTCACCAAATGGGTTAGTCCTGCTAGCCAGCAAGTGCCAGGAGACCACCTGTCTCCATCTACCCTTCACTGAGATTACAATCATATACCATTACATTCATGTTCTTTTTTACATGGCTTCTGATGATCACACTCAGGGTCTCGTGCTTACAAAGCAAATACTTTACCCACTGAGCAATCTCCCCAGCCCAACAAGAGAATATTCTAATAATGTA